GTGTATCATATACAAGCTGCAAGCAGCAAGTTTCCTAAATAAATTTCAAGGTGGTGTTTCTGTCTTGCTCATAAGACTATGGAGTAGTGATTATTGGCCATTCCTATTCTTTGGCTGGCCTTTGACTTGAATTTTTATGCTAATGTCAGTCTTAATTCAGTTGGTTACTGGTGTGTGTGGAGGGGGGCTTTGTTTTGTAGAAAGACATTGTCAGGTATTACTTCCATGCTGCTGCAGGTGAATTCTCATATGTTGATGTCATGTTAGTCTGATTCAACTGTTGTTTTTTTTAAATTTGGTAGTTACTCTGGAATTGCTTTGTGTACTTTAAATCCTATACTTATCACAGAGTGCTCTGAGAATTATGAAAACCTGACCTCTCTGGTTTTCGTTTGGTTGGTTTTTTGTCTTTTTTATTTTTTTAAATGTGCAGGAAGCAAGGTAAATGTTATGTACATTCCTAGGGTAAAGACAACAGTGTTAAAAGACTGATCTTGGCGTTTTTTATTCCTGTTTTCCTTAAAGGATGTTGTTGAGGTCACTGAACTACATTTTTCTTCATGATACAACCAAAAATTAAATTCCCACTGACATTTTTAAGAGCCCCATTTTAGGTCCAAATGCTACCTTAGCTTGTAATATGAAGAAATAGGAACATGCTTGCTTTGAATGTCTGCCTGCCTTGATTCCTTTGGTGAAGCTGAAGTGCCCACTGAATATTTGTGCATAAACAGGTTAATTTAACTCTTTAGCTCGATTTTCATATCATGTGGGCTTCAACAGAATTTTTATTTTATTGTGTTTTCACATACGCGCTTCCAGTGCGCTGTGCTCCTGGCTGCACTTGTCACAACTGGTTTCTGGAGACAAAAATTATCTAATTCATATTTAAATGCCTTTTAAAAACAGGAAAAGGAGGAGGATGACATTTTTAAACTAGATGATTTTACTGACCTGTTTTAGTCTGGATCCAGAGGGGCTGGTGGGGGAATAGCATGGGAAAAATGGGAAAATAAGAAGCCCTTAGAAATATTGAACTAAAATCTTACCTTTTCAATAACTCTGGTTTTCCCAGAGGTGACCTTTTCATTCCTTTCAGTGTAGGTGTGTGTCCCTGTCACGCCATTTACTAGGAAAAAGTCAGTAATGGCCTTGAAGCACGGAGTTTGTTCTTGGTTGTGTTGACTCTGGTTTTGTTCCGTAGGTTGGCTGACTGTAGGACCCACCCTCACAAACAGCAATTTCAATGCAGAAACATATTCTTCATACTTCACCGCTCCGAATTCCCACCTGACGGGCTGCACTGAAGAGATTGAGAGACTTCGGCCCAAGTCGCCACCACCCAAGTCCAAGTCTGACCGGGGAGGTGGTGCTCCAAGGGGAGGAGGAAGAGGAGGGACTTCAGCAGGTCGAGGAGAAAGGGGCAGAGAGAGGAACAGAACTAACTTTCGGGGTGAGAGGGGTGGCTTCAGAGGGGGACGTGGAGGTACCCATAGGGGAGGCTTCCCCACCCGCTGACGACTGTTGGGTAATGGCTTCTTCCAGTCCTATGCCTCATCTCTGAATCTTTTTCTTAGTCTTGTTTTTGCTAAAATGAATTATTCTGGGGACTCAGGATAGATTACTTTTAAAATTGTTTCTGATGCAAGCCGTTACAGATAGTCTGCCTTCCAGCGACCGGCCTGGCACATCACCTCACCCCGCCTGGCTGGCAGGTCCTGCACCTGACTGCACCAAACTGCCTCCTGACAGCCTCTACGTGTCAAAGCAGAGAGCGCCATCTCCTCAAACCACCGATACCATTCAAGTGAAGATACTTGCTCTTCCCATATGAAACTTGCAAGCTGTGGGCTTTATTAGCTGTCACTTTCTCTGCAACACAGATTCCTCTTCCTTCGGAGGTTCAGGTTTGGACTGACTTGGATTAATACGATGGAGTGGGCATGAAATGCAGTTCTGAATTGCATGACCATAGCAGGCTCACTCTCTTATTTGTGGAAGAAAAAGCATTGTGTCTGTATCGACACATATTTTAACTTCTCTGAAAGCAAGGAGTAAATTGAATAAATAGAATTCTATTTTTTCTTATTTGGTTTAAATCTCCCAAATTATTCCTGGGAATAGGGAACAAGTTAGTTTTTCATTTGTGGTGTATGTGCACTCACCTTTCACGTCTGTAGTGGGGGAGAGTGGTAATTCTGTGCAGTTGTGTGGTGTGCTTCACGGAGAGCAAGAAGTCCTGTGTTTATATGGAGTCCAGAACCTGTAGGTAGGTCTGGGTTGCTTCTCGAGTAGGGTTTTTCACCCTGTTCCTAATAGCCTTGTTCTTTGGTAGGGAAAACCAGTTCTATTGCAGAGCAATTGCAATGTAAGTAGTAGAAAGATCTCACTGGAGGTCGTACTGGAAACGTGAGGTGATGTTGTGAGAGTGAGCGCTTCCTGAAACTAATCACCTGGGTAATGAGGGCACAGGAATCTGAGTGTTTGGCTCTGCCTGTGGACATCACGTGCATTGGAAGTGGAGTGCTGGTGATCAGCTCCAGAGTACAGTGTGAAAAGAAAGCAATTCACTGTGGTATGTACAATGTTTGTATTTTAGCAAAACCACAACTCTGAACTTCTTGGTCAATACCTGGTAGACTAAACAAACCTGGCTGGTGTTGGAAAATTGGATTTTAAGTCTTATAATATTTCTCAATTGAAGCCTAGATTTTAAATAACTGTCCTGTAAAGTAGTGGATTATTAAACTTCTTTATCAAAGCTAATGTTACTATATTTTTCTTAATACTTTGTGGGTTTGTTCTCCTTGAGGTTTTGGAATGACTAAGTTTCACTCTGGTTTCCTCCCTCGTGTTGTAAAAGAGCAGGCAGTAACTGTTCTTTTGGTGCGTGAAAGCTTTCTACACACGCTCTACGAAGGATACCTGCTGCGTGATCTGAAGGTGGTGCTTCAACAGCGATAAGTTGCCTGTAAAGGTAAGACAGTAGTGTCTGGGGGTGTGTACTGAGGGCTTGGTGTCTCGTGCTTGTGGAGATGATACTTAGAAAATACTGTAGTGAGACACTATTCCCCAGCCTAGCTGCAATTATACAATAATTGGACATTTTCTTAATCACTGTTGATCTGGACCATATCTAAAGTGGTGTCTAGACATGAAAATCTTTTAATTTCATTACTGGTTGTCAGTTAATTTTGCAGTTGTAATTCTTTAACAGAAGGAGGACGCTAATGCTCGTAATCAGTGAACTGATGAATATTTCATTTACCACAAGTAAATGCAGATTTATTTGAGCATGCTGTCCTTAAAGAGAAAAAGCTTAACAAGTTTCTTTCTTTCCAGTTTTATGAAACGCATTAATGCCACCAGTCTGATTTGGGATGCTTGTCTAGATCTTGTCATGTGTTTCCATTCTGGAAGAGGTTTATAGTACTTTGAGTATCTTACACCCTATGTGAATTAAGTGAAGGATTTGACAATTACACTGACAAGATACGGGACATCTTAGCATTTAGCTTCAAAGGGATTTTAAGGCTTGGCTCAGCTGTAAATCACTGTGTGTAAATCCAGCCATGGGCTTGAGAACCCTTTCTGCTTTCCGGCACTGGAAAACATTGGCAATCAGGCATTGGTTGGAACGCTGGTTGTGCTGTGTGGGCCTGTGGTCAGTGCTCTTGGGGGTTTGTGGTTCTTCCCCGGCTCAGTGCCATGAACACAGGCTCACTGCTGGTGTTGGTAAGATACTGAACGCTCTCCTCAGTGGAGCGGAATTTAGGCTGCAAACTAAAGAACAATTTTGAACTGACAGTGGAAGTTAAATGGTATTAAATCAAGGGATTAATTTTAGAATACTCAGATGTTTCAAAATCCTTGGCAAGGTATAGAACTATCCAGAATGCACTCTAGAAAAGAATAGAGGAACACTTGAGAACAGCTGTAAGTCTTGTTTCTTGAACGTGTCTTTTTAAGGATACATTGAGTAACTGAAAGTGATAGATAACAAGATTCACTGTTTCTGTATATAGTAGAAAAATGATTTCTCCTTCCAAAACTGGCAAAGTTGGTGGCAACTTTATTGCTGTAGTAGAAAATTGCCCAGTGTAATGGGATGAAAGTCAACTTAATAACATGGAGGAAAATTTACTAATCCTTTTCATAATAGGGTCATTCTCATGGATGAAAAAAGCAAGCAGTAGGTAAATTCTGTGGTGAAACATTAAGTTATTTTGATTATAATTACTGTAGCAATTAAAAAGGAAAAAAAAAAGGCCTAAATACTGCAAATCTGAGTTGAATATTACAGCCCTGCTGTTTATGCTGGAGACAAGAATTGTAATATGTCTGTGTGATAACTTATGATTGCTGCAAGAGCTGCTGTATCAACGTGTGTCTGTATCTCAGTGCTGGTTTAGCCATTGTGATATGTACAAAAAATTAGATTAACTGTATGTGAAAGGCTAGAGCTGGGATGAATTAGCTGTGCGAGTGTAAATAGCTTTGTGTTACTACAGCTTTGTTCTGAACAGCACCGCTGTGCCTGAAATCATGCTCTCTGTAGGCTTTGCCAGTGCACGGGTAAGGGGTGTGCATGCTCCGCATCAAAATTCTAAGTGACCAACTAAAGCAGCTGATCAGTGGGGTTCTTCCCCGGCTCAGTGCCATGAACACAGGCTCACTGCTGGTGTTGGTAAGATACTGAACGCTCTCCTCAGTGGAGCGGAATTTAGGCTGCAAACTAAAGAACAATTTTGAACTGACAGTGGAAGTTAAATGGTATTAAATCAAGGGATTAATTTTAGAATACTCAGATGTTTCAAAATCCTTGGCAAGGTATAGAACTATCCAGAATGCACTCTAGAAAAGAATAGATGAACACTTGAGAACAGCTGTAAGTCTTGTTTCTTGAACGTGTCTTTTTAAGGATACATTGAGTAACTGAAAGTGATAGATAACAAGATTCACTGTTTCTGTATATAGTAGAAAAATGATTTCTCCTTCCAAAACTGGCAAAGTTGGTGGCAACTTTATTGCTGTAGTAGAAAATTGCCCAGTGTAATGGGATGAAAGTCAACTTAATAACATGGAGGAAAATTTACTAATCCTTTTCATAATAGGGTCATTCTCATGGATGAAAAAAGCAAGCAGTAGGTAAATAAAAAGGCCTAAATACTGCAAATCTGAGTTGAATATTACAGCCCTGCTGTTTATGCTGGAGACAAGAATTGTAATATGTCTGTGTGATAACTTATGATTGCTGCAAGAGCTGCTGTATCAACGTGTGTCTGTATCTCAGTGCTGGTTTAGCCATTGTGATATGTACAAAAAATTAGATTAACTGTATGTGAAAGGCTAGAGCTGGGATGAATTAGCTGTGCGAGTGTAAATAGCTTTGTGTTACTACAGCTTTGTTCTGAACAGCACCGCTGTGCCTGAAATCATGCTCTCTGTAGGCTTTGCCAGTGCACGGGTAAGGGGTGTGCATGCTCCGCATCAAAATTCTAAGTGACCAACTAAAGCAGCTGATCAGTGGTGGTTTTGCGTGGCCTGAACTGGCCAAGCAGAAGATGCGTGTGGTGGTGCAGCCACGATCTTCTGGCTGTGGGCAACCTCCATGGAATAAGGTAAGAAAACAGGTCATGAGCAGCCCACCAGCTTCCTACCTCTGAGGGGAGGGAAGCTCCCCACCTACCTCTGGGGTGATGCTAACAGCAGAAACACCCTGAAAGTTCTGTAACACCAGGTAGGCTTGCTGTCTTAGAAGTCACAACAGGAGACTTGGCTTTGTTTACACTGTGCAGGAATTATTGTTCCTAATTTGACTTTGCTGTGCTTACAGGGAAAGGCAGGGGGAAGAAGTCCATGAGCCCTGAAGAGGGTTTCTGTTGCTAGTTGCCCTAAACCACCCTCTGTAGTGGGGTGTGTACTAGTTTTAGGTGCTTTAAGATGTTATAAGTTTAAGATGTGTTACATATGTAGCTTTTGGCAGAGGCTGATAGCATAAAAAACTTGGAGAATTTAGTATATATAAGAATAAACATACACGTAATTATAATTAATAATTGCTTATTTCTTTACACATAGAGTTGCTGGTGTCATTCTACAAAGTACACTGATTTGGAATGGCAACAAATACTTTTTACAGGGTAACATTTTCAGCTAAAAAGTGCTTGCCTTGGCAGCTGAATTCAGTCCCAGGATCCTTCTGTAACGTAGCCGCTTATTTTAAGAGCGCTCAGTCACTGCACAAGGATAGAGCTCTTTTGATAAGCTGTCAAACCAGAAATATGCATCTTGACTGCTTGTCTTGGATATTAAAATGATTAACACTAAGTAGCAACACTAACTTACTTAAAGGCACTTTTGTTTTTTAAATGAGTCCCAACTCTTAGCATTACTTTTGAGGGGTTTTTGCTTTCTCTGAAACACTGATTTTTGTAACAATAGCTTTTCAAGTTTGGAAAAGTACAAATCTTACAAGCAGAGGTATTGGTCCTAAACATACAGATTGATGAAGTATCTGAGGTAAACAGCTATTCCAAAGACCCTGGCTTTCTAAATTCTACCTTAAATATTGATATTAGCAGAGGCTTATTTTTCAAAGCAGTGACTGTTGAATAAATCAGTCATGCGAGAGGAGGTCACTGTAATAGAACTGGTATTAAACAAGAGGCTTTCTTTTTATAGCACCACAAATACCCTTTGGTTAATTCGTCAACTGTCTTACAGTTGACCTGCCACTGCATTTTTGAGGGAATGTTCCAGTTAGCAAATGCACTAAATAAAACCTAACAGTTCAATTATTAATACGTAATTAAAAACTATGCTAAGTTAATTAAGAGAATTGTACCATAATTGTGTTGCATTATCTGCCAAATTTAGCAAAAGGAATGCTTGATTACTGTTCCGCCTGTGGTCCACTGTTGTTAAACTTACCCAAGTCCAGTTATAAACAGGCGTTTTTGTCTCCTGGGTAGCCCTGGGTGTGGCAGGTGACCCAGAGCTCTGCTTCTGTAGAAGGCAATGATTGTCCCTTCCAGGAAAAGGGGGGTTATTTGTAGAGATCAGCTTTACATGAAGGACTTTGAGTACTTCATTGAACTACACGATTACTGCAAATCTAATTCAACTATATTCAACTCACTTAGAAAAAGCAATGTTACGTATTTTTTTCCTCCTGTATAGATTTTTAGCATCTTTTCTGGCTTTTATACAACTTATGACTAACAAAAGGAATAATTAAAGAGTTTTCTAAATTATATTTCAATAAATGCATACCGTATGCTCTGAAGCGTTGACAGTTTGAAATCTGGCACGGCACTTGGAGAAACAGTCAGGGCTCCCAAAAGATTAATACCTGAGTGCAGAACTTCCTATTCTACAGCTTAATGAGTAAGCTAAATACTCAGTGAGAGGCTGTGGGAAATGAAACTGTACAACAAGAGCACAGAGAAGAGCGCTGCAGAAGGCCTGGTGCAGTGGAGCTGGGGGCCAGCCTTCAGGCACCCATCACCGTCCCTCTCGCAAAATCAGAAAGAACCTGACAACCTGTATTTGAGACTCCTTAACTGAGCAGCTGGCAGATCTCTTTGTGAACGCAGCATAAGAAATCCACGTAAGAAGCTCCTCCATAAATACTCTTGTCTTCTACTAGGAACTGTCGGAAAAGCATCTCTGGCTGCTCCCGCTGTTTCACTATGATCAGCTGAAAAGAGACACATATTTTTAGGATCCAATCATGGCAACTGGCAGTACAGTTCTCCCCATATCTATGAATGTATGTTGTTCAGGGGGAAAAAGCCCCAAAACTAACAAATTTCAATAGCTGCATTTATGAACAGGGGGGAGAAAGACTACTTTGAGTTAAAGTTCTCAGGACAAAGTGATAACCTTTAGACTTGACTATCTCTGACAATATCTTGATTAAGAATAAAGCACATTTGAGATGCTTGTGCCTGGAACTCACTGGCATAGAGGAAAATTCCCAATACGTAAAATGTTTTACAGCTACAGATAAGTTTTGTCAAAGCCAGCAGTGTTCTTTTGGACAGGAATGAGGCAGAGAGAAGTCTCACCTTCATAGTGTAGGGCTTTTGGCTCTGGATATGCTCCACTATTGACTTAAGTTTCTTAGAAAATGGATTGTCCAGGTCAGGCAGTGATGTCTGTTAAATGAAAGCACAGCAGGTTGGTATAGTCCAGTCCCATCCCTTACGAATTTTTACAAGACCAGCTGATGATATTTATGATGCAAGTTTCTGAGGATTTCATTCTAAACTGGGAAATGCCATCTCCTTCACAAAAATGTCTCACCATAAAGATTCATCTAAGCCATTTTTCAGTTTAAAATAATCACTATATGAAAATTCATTATCAGGAGAAATTTTAACTGCTGTGAAGTGTGTTGTTCCAATTTTAGCAATACACATTCAATAGGACCTTATCTGCAACAGCAGTAGTTTTAAGAAGGTTTAAAAATGTTGTGAAAGCTTCTTTTCTGTAAGTATGCAGAATGTTAAAAGCTTATTAAAGTTTTATGTATGTTAGGACACTTCTGGTGTCTTAACACATTCTGCTGGTCACCTCTTTCTGCTTTTACTTTAACAACAAAAATCCCCCTTACTTGTTTCCCTGATCTTAGTAAATGATAAATTCAGAAGAAGGGACTAGTGTCCATGTACTCACAGCCTCTGTGCTGATGTGTGTGAAGGATGGCACGTTGAAGAGCCCTTGGATGAGCTCTGGGGGCGCGCTCACCCCCAGCCATAGGAACATGCTCAGACCGTTGGCCAGCAGGAAGGCCCCTCCTTCTGACAGACGTTCCTCAGAGCAGCGGACGGCGGCTGGGACGGCGTCACTCTTCAGATCCAGGCCGTGCTACAGGGGAGAGAGAGAGACAGGAGCTGTAGACTCGGTGACTTCAAGGTGACTAAAGCTCTAACTAGATACTGAAAAGTAACCATTGAAGGGTTTAGTACATGTTAGTGGTTCCTTTCCAGATGAGAGGAATTAGAAATCAAATCTTTTTCAGTCGTTGCACTGTGAGTAAAGGCAGACCTGCTGTAACTGGGAGACACTTGCACACCAGTGTTGATCTCTAGTAAAACTGGCATCTTTCATGAACCTGGGCAAAAACCTTGCTAAAAGTATAGTGAGATTTTTGGAGGATGCTGATGTCAATGACTGATAATGTAACTTCCCCATTTTTCCATTAAGCTAGAGGTTCTATCCTCCCTCCCTCCCTCCTCAATCTAGTCCAACTAGCAACTACATCACAGTAACATGTAATCCAGCACGGTAGCTAACACTTGCCCAGCAGCCAGAATCTCGTCTGTATCTGCACAATTACAAGATCACAGCGTACTGAAAACAGTTTACTGAAATGAGAAGATGTGCAAACAACAAACATACTCACAATTGGCAGAAGCTGAGGATAGAAAAACAACTGTGTGTCGGCTACCCCCATAGACATGACCAGCTGCCGATGGTAAGCTCTCTCGTCAGTTGGAATTTCAGGTCTGCCAACCAGCACGCAGCTCTTCAACAGACAGTTCATGTACACTGGCAGCACCTTCATTGCATCTGGAAGGATGAGCTGAGAGGCAGAGAGAACTTGTTATTTCATATATCCCATGTGCTGGGGGAGGAGAGCTGGCCTTTCAGACATTTAAATAAACCACTGCTTGTTTCCTTTGATTAAAGAGAAAAAAACCTAAAAAAACTTTTTTGTATGTGCTGTTTCACACCAGATGTGACAGTTCTCAATGGTTAATACATTAAATAAGATTCCAACAGGAATCATTTGCCCTATAGAGTAGTTGTTGCCCTGGATGCTTTCATTTCCCTGTAACCCATGCTTGTTTTTAAATACTAAATTAAAGGGGAGTCACAAAGGGGTGTTTTTTTCTCTGAACTATTTAGGAGGGAAATGAAGTGTCTCTGGTATTATTTCTAACATATTTGGTCCTGACTAACATTCAACAGGCTTTTGACTACTGGAAGCACTGCATGGGATATAGAGGCCTTAGTCTTTCTCTTAAGTTGAACCACCAGGACATAAGGGTCATTTAAAAGGAAACAGCTGTTGCTTTTATTGGAGCATTGAATTTTAAGTCATGTAATTAGGATGTGCTAATAATACTAAACATTACATTCAAGAAGAAGAAGAGGAAAGAATTGGAAAACAAAGTTTAAAAGAGATCAAAGGAAGTAATCTAAATCAAACTCCTCCGACATTGTCAGAGTCCTTTGTCCTTTCTATACACTGTGGCACTCGTGTTCAGAATTGCCAGCTGTCATTCCTAGAGTGTCAGCCCAACCGTCCCTGCGCTCTTGAAGTGCATCTGAAGGAGATGGGGAAAGAGTCTGAGAGTTCCAAGAAAAACAGAAGTGAAATTTAAATGCTTTACAGCCATCTTTGAGTATTGGAAACAGAAAAAAGATTTTTGTCAGAAACGGCTGCAGAAAGGATTTGAAAACACCTGCCTGTTGGTTCAATTAGACCTTCTATAATGTACTGAATATGTAAAAGAAAGGGCTGAAAACAATAGAGGTGTCTTTAAGTTGAGAGAATTTTCAAGTAGTATGGAATATAAGTAATCAGGTCCCTAGAGCTTCTTACTACCCTTTAGTAAATAACAGAGTTAATAGACTGTTATCTTAATCGCCGTGGATTTTTTTTCCCCTTGGAGTTTGACCTCATCTAGACATCAGGTATTTATCACTCCAGAACACTTGACAGATCTATGTGCAAATTCAGACTGTTTACTAAGTTATGCTCATTTTTTTGACAATTAACAGTCTTATTTACCAAAAAATAGAATACTAAAATCTTAAACAACAGAAGAAATGAAAAATGAAAGCTTTGTGAGTCAGCACATAATTCCAGCAGGAAGAAAAAGGCTGCCTAAGCTCCTTTGTGTGAATATGATCATCAGTTTCCTCAATGGCATTGCCATTTGTTCCGGAACAAGAGCCTCGTGTGGTGTAATTGCTACCACTGACTCCCACCTCTCATTAATTGTATTTGAAAGAAAAGGAAAAGTCTGTCTGGAAATTCTCCTTTTGGGCACTGTTGACGTTGCAGGGTGGTCATTCATCTCCTGCAAAGCCTGGCTGGGGAGGACTGAGTGGGGCTGGGTCTTACCTGGCTGACTGCCGATGGGCTGGCACAGTTCTTCCTGTAACAGGCCAGCATGTGAGCCGTCTGGTTCACCAGGATCTCTCTGACTGTCTTCAGTGGTTGGCTTAGAACGGCTTTAAAAGCTACAAACAGAGCAGAACAAAAGAGTGTGCTAAAGATGGGGATGTACTTCCAAAGTCTCTGTATTTTGCTAGCTTCTAATTTTACTGACCTGAGGCCTACAGCCGGTTTTTAGTTTTTTTTTTTTTTTTTACAGACAGCATCTTGGAGGATGTTTATTCATCTTTGCCCCAAAAAACTCCCCCAAACCTCCAACGCTATGATAGGATGTCCATTTCTACTGCTGGGCCTATACAGTTTTTTTGCATTACACATTTCTAGCTACCCTCACAAGCGTTACTTTTATGGCAATATAGCTAAAATGTGTGATCTATTTGTCTTTTCAATTTTATAATACTTCAAGAGTTGCTCAGGCTTGGAGCAGCAAGTTACAAAATGTGATTTCCCACTAGGTAATCACTTCAACTCCCCTTCCCTTCCTCCACCCCAAAGTAAAAAAGGAAACAAGAACAGACTGTTATCTTTACCTGATTTAGCAAAGAAGTTGATAAGTGCATCAGTCTCACAAGTCTTGTAGACATCAGCTAACTGGGAGCTACAATTTAAACCTATATTGTGTATGCGAAGTCTTCTTTGCCCGCTTATTGATGTGTAAAGGACAGCACACTGCAACACACAGCAAATTACCATAGGGTTTTTTTTAAAACAAAAGTTTCTGTCACACAATAGCCACTGCTTTGTGCACAGAAGGCACATAATTACTTCTGAATGGCCTTGGCAGTGCTGCTTCAATGCTCCTGTCATCTACAGGACCAACATACCTGTATTTTATTGGAATTATAGTAAACATTATAGAAGTTACTAACCTTAAAATTGCAAATAATTATAACGTGACTGATTAAAAGGCTTATTACTCTAATTTCTACACAGTGACGGTATCATCTGAAAACAAGAAACCAATGTTTGGAAATTTGTAAATTGTACTCTGTGTAATATTTGAACTGTTCAAATGTATTTGAAAAGACACCATACTAGTGAAGAGACCCGTGCTGAGAAGTGCTCTGCCCATCATGCTGTCTCTTGGCACAAACAACACAGAAAAACTTCCTAATCTTGAAAAGTTGCATGGTTCTTTTTGCATGAATAAGTTGCTTCTGATGTGAAACAAGAGGTCCTGCTAATCCCTGTATCCTGCACCTGCCATGGCCTTAGATATTAACAATGTAGGGTGTAATTTACAAATTTCCTTGACTCCACCTCTACTTCAGTATGTTACTGATACTTCAACATAATGTATGATCCAAAGCCTGTGGGGCAAACAGACACCAAGTTCCTGTAGTCTGCCTTGCGTTAGATAACTCCACAAGTGTGTATCCTATGAAAGAGCTGTAAATGCAACTATGGATGGCACAGCCATCGCTGTCACTGCTGCACCACGGCTCTGGGAAGCGACCTCACATGTACCAAAATGGATGTTTCACCCTGCTGTATTCATACAGGGATTAACTGCTAACCTATGAAATGTATTTATAAAGGCAAGCTAAAAGCCAAGCAGAACAGAAATAAAGTTCAGATAATTCTGTGGCTTAAGTTTAAAACCTTGCAAGCTGTAACATTTTCTGTCATTAAACAAGAAAAAGGTCATGACTTAAACGTCTAGAATAGTAAACAACCACCTCCCATTATCTGATCATGGGTGGGATACTCCCATTCCTAACAAAAAGACGTATCACCAGTCTGTCTGTTGGCAATTCAGGCAGAGAAATATAAATTACTGCTAAAGTGGCATTTTCAAGGCAGGCACACGAGGCCAGATTCCCATAGCAGTGCTGCCACCGGGGCTGCGCGGGGGGACGTGGTGGCCTCCTCTCTCCTGGCACAGAGTGGAACCACGCTGCAGGGGAGAGAAGGTGCTGCATGTCCCGCCGTAACTGGCAGAGGACATGGTGATGCCAGCAGGTGAGTGCCGTGGGGCTCGAGCCCGAGGGAGCAGGGCAGCCAGTGACAGCCTGCAGGAGAGACCTTCCCTCGCACAGGTACCATTGCTGGTGGGTCTTGAGCAACCCGTAGGGTTGAATTAGCAATAGAGAACTGCCCTTCAACCGAGATGTCACAGGAGATATCCACAGCAATAACGCCTTCCTATGAGTACTAATCAATCTTAAACTCCAAATAAACTTATTTAGTAAAATGGAAAAAAATAATAGCTGCAGATATCTGAGAGTCTTTAAAAACCACTTTGGTATTCCTGAATAGAACATGCAGGATAGAGGTAGGTGAACAAACTGTTTCTCATTAGGGCATTGCTTGTGCTTTTGAAGTAAGATGCGACCTTTAGCTAGTTAATTAAAACCTTAGTTAGTGGTATTATGTCACAGAGTCTGTGTGAGCTGTGCCTTACTCCTATCAGGCCTACACCATAACTTTGTTCTTGCTCACAATTTTATGACATTACATGTAATTAAGCTTTTTTACCTGAATTAAGGCACCACTGTCTTCATTCAGTTTGTCATCATGTTTGAACTCCACTGTCACTGCCTTGTCACAGTCAACTGCTGCCATCTCTACATCTGTGGTGTTGTTCATGTAAATAGCACCAAAGAAGTCCGTAGCTCTGAAGCCTACCACCAGATTAAAACAAAACAAACATATTATTTTATTTAAAAAGAGGAAAAAAAATTGACATTATTCTGTGACTTTCTTTTTATGGTCAGTCAGTTTTGCTTACTGAAACAGGAACCATTTTCCCTCAGGGATTTGTAGCCCCAGGGACCCACCAACTGTCCTTGCAAATGGCATTTTTTGACAGTTGGGTGAGAGGGAGCGCTGACGGGCCATGAAGCCACGCTGTGACACTGAGATCACCTAGAACCTTCTGCGCTGTTGAACCTGGCCACTTTGTGTGTGTATGTTTCTCAAGTACTTGCATTTGAGGCAAGAGAGAATGCTTGGAAAGTAGACACGGTAATGTCATTTGCAGTACGGAAATGAAGGAACATGTAAGCCTCCAGCAGCAGCACTATTTTATACCACTTAACTTGCAATCCGAGTGCGTAATGAGCAGAAGCCTTACTCATATTTGAAAATTAATAATTACGGAGGCATATACAGGAAGACATATTCCTGCATTTTATCAGTCTATCCAATTAGTTTTCAAGATATACTAATGAAGGTAAACCAGTTAGCCTGATCTTACAAATGATCTGTACAACACCCTATTATATAAAATTCTATATTGTCATACGCATTCATGTTTATTTTCATTCCCAATGGGTACCATTACCTGTACTTGTCCGAACCCTCATTATTGCATCAAATCCGGTCTTTTTTTCGATGTCCTTCCTGAGGTCACTTAAGAACTGTGTGCTGTCAGCATCCAGCTAGAAACGCAAAGCACAAGCTGCAGTTCACCACTGGGTGTCAGCAGCAGAGCAGGAACACAACCCTCCCTCCCTCTGACACCCCCACCCTGCCCCGGTATCAAAGCTGTTCTTTTCATGCTTAACCTCTCTCGTTTCCTTTAAAAAGAGATAAACCATGTTGATGGTTGTTTAGTGAACAGAAACATATATATGCACGTGTCCAGCAATTCATCACTAGCCTTGGACATCAGGAATTTCTATTCAATCAAATTATCTCCAGTAACACCCGTTTTTGCACTCAGCCTTGCAGCCCAGGTAGGATTTTATGGCACAGCTTAAGGAATTTACAGAGTAGTCTGGCTGCCTTCCCCAAAAATGCTTTTGCAGTTTAGCTCCTGACAGAGAATCCCCTACTCCCCAGAGAGATGCTCGTGACGTTTTAAACAAACAAGTGTTCATTAATGGCTTTTTTTGGGTCTTTATCAAAAGTATTTTTATCTGTTATATACAGGAGTAATTGACTTCCCCGCTCAGATGCCAGTATATTTAAGTAAGTGGATTTAATTTTAAAATACCAACCAGATTACTGGTCCAAGATATGTATTTTAGCCTGATCTGTCATTTCTAAGTTTAAATTTTACCCGCTGGAGTTTATATGCAAGCTTTCTGCAGTCATCTGCTTTTATGTGAAATGTCAAAGCACATGTTGAAACAAAAAGAAAAACAACAAATCCCCAGTTGGTACTATCTGAAAGGCAGGAAACCTGCATCACTTACCTGGAAATTGTTGTACTTGTACAATGTTCCTCCCGTGTACATTGTGATGAGACCCATGGAGGCTACGTCCACGTACTGATTTGGGAAGAGGAACAAATTCACGCAGCAGCCATTGGCCACACAGTCCCTGGCTAAGGCCTCATAAGAATTTACCTGGGGCTGGAAGAGCGTCTGCACAGAATTAAAAAATACAAGTGCCATAGCATTAGATACCACAACCCAAATGCCCACTTGAAGAAAAAAAGATGAAGTGGAAGTTTTAAGTCAATTAAAAACACATTGTCCCTGCCCGTACACTCGTGTGCAGGGAACCAAACCAGTACATTCATAGAGAACTCAATCGCTGAACAGGAGGGTAGCAAAGGCTCTCGATGGGTGGGACAATTTGCTGCTGCTCTAGCACACCTTGGTCCTCCTGTAGGGCCAGTGTCAATACTCCTACACAACCAGGGCACAGTGAGAACGGGACTATTGTACAATTAAACAGCACATCTTTGCAAAAGAAAATAAATGAAAAAAGATCAAGGCTCTATTAGGGAAATTCAGCATAATAGCACTCCCATGTTAACTCAAGAGTAGGAAATACCTTTTCTTTATCGGTATTGAGTAGTTTTTTGTCATCTCTGTTTCTTAGCTTCCCTGGTGCTTCTGCAGTTGGCAATGAAGAATGGAAGATAAACAATTTTCCAGCACATTCTGCAGCCTGTTTCAAAGACACCATATTGGCATATTTATTACTGCTAAGATAAAAAAGCCTAATTTTCATACATTGTGGTATCTCAGAGAACAGTGTAAACTTTCTGCAAGATCCCCAGAGTTAAATAACTCATTTAGACACTCAAAACTTGATGGAAGTAAGTCCTGAAACAAAGAGAGAATTTTAGGTCAGTAAATCCCTTAGTCTAGCACACAAGTATGTTGGCTGATGCATTGTTACAGCAATTTCTATATATAAATCTAATATCTTGATGGGCAGAACTAGGAGTGCCTCTCTTGGAGACTTTCCAGTTAGATACAAGCATTATGCAGCAAGTATCAAAAGTCAAAATACTAAACTGGGGAAAATTAAAAGGAAATGTAATTTAATAAAAATAATTCCTTTCATTCAGGCACACTTGTGTTCGCTACATTTTTACAGAGGAGTGACGATTACACTCCTGTACTAGATTCCACATTCAAATGTACACTAAAATCCAGGAGCATCAAAACGTGTGATGAACATTTCCTCCTGTCACTAAGAAATTAACTGTCAGTTTTATTCCAGTTTTCTATTTTTATTTAGAACTCTAATGAGAACATGATTTTTACTGAGATGAGAAACTACTGACAGAAACCCCTGAATTCCAAAGAGAGTAACAACAGTAGCAGTACTGCAGGCATCTTTGTACTATTAACAATCTTTTCCACCAAAATTTAGTAAATCCAGTTTATCACTTCTGCTTACTAGTGAGACAGCTAATGGGAAAGAACAGAATAGAATAGAGTATTTCAGTTGGAAGGGATCTACAACAATCATCTAATCCAGCTGCCTGACCATTTCAGGGCTGACCAAAAGTTAAAGTGAAGTGAAATGAAAACTGATGAGCAATTCTGAGGTCTCCAGGTATTTAAGAAGTTGGGTGAAGGTGAAGGGATGAAAGGAGAAAAGAGGGATTTGTCCTTTTCCTGCTCCGGACTTAAGCACACATCCAGGTTAAAACTGCAATACTCAAGACTACAGACACAAACCAGCTTTGGTACTCTTTCTCCTCCAGATCTTGAGATGTTCACAAGATAAAGATATTCCCCATTTCTATATAAGCTACGGCATTCTTCTAGGAAAACTAAAAAACCTCTTTGCTATGGCAGAAATGCAATTGAAGACTGTATCTTACTCTTAACAGAGCTGAAATTTCACCCCTAATATTCCAAGTGTAATTATCTTTAATCACAAATGCCAATTTCCTCAATTCCTTTTAAAAAGCATTCTGCTGAAAACTGAAAGATCTACCAAATACCTGTTTGTCATGATAGGCAAATTTTCTATAATGTATATATATTATTTCTAAAAGTGTATTAAAATTAATCTCAAATAGGAACACATATTGAGTACATACATATATGCATATTAATAATTCACAGTGAAAATCCTTACAAATTATAACTTTAAAATATAGAGCTAAATAAAAAGCTTAATTAAGAGCTGCTTTCTTTTACAGCCAACATCAAAGGAAATTTACAGGTATGGCCCCTAAATTTATTTTGAAGAAGTCCAGTATTATGGAAGAACTGTATTAGTCAAGTATTCGGTGGAAGCTGTAACTAAACATATGTTTTGCACATATACCTTCTGGCAGCATGAATAAATAACCAGAAAATAGGTATTAGTGAAATATTCAAGAAATGTGCATTTTCGGTTCATCTACTCAAGATTATGCTTTACTTACACACACAGCTGCAGATAAATCAACTACTCTAAAACACCACTGGCTGTTCTCTGCTCCTACAAATCTCGTGGTGAACTGTGATGGCATTCTTTTAATTGGCAGCGCTCCATGGAAATGTCAGCACTTTAGGGGATGTCCTGGACATACAGAAAGCAACTTGGGGTGCATCTTGACCTGTGGATTCATTTTCAGCTGTATTCAAGCTGTGAGAATCTGTCAGTTAAGCAGAAAGCCTCCAACCCCTACCCGATTCAGTCATAAATAGTCATAAAAATCTTGTTTTGCACAAAAACTGAGCAGAAGCGGGAGAACAGGCAGAGGAAAATCAGATCTTACACTGACTCTTTTCCTGCCCTTCACACATGCAAGGACTGGATGCCTGTACAAACACCCAGAGCATCTATTTGTTCTGTTGCAGTAACTAAACTCTTTTCTATTTCTCTCGAATGCTTAACGAGAATCCAACTCCTGCTCCTCATCTTCTCCTAAACATCCATCCTACGTGGAATAGACTCTAGGGATTGTTTTCCCTCAATAAGCAAAATCTGGAAACAGATGTTATGCTTGTCAGTGTTCTCATTTTGACTAAAGCAGTTCAAACATACAGTTAGAATAACGGAACATTAGTGCTGGAAACAATCAGCAGCTTTTTTTTCTAATTTCCGATTTTGATTTGTAAGAGGACCTGGAACTGGCTTTTAGCAAATGGAATTTCTGCAGCTTATCAAGTCTTATTCTCATTAAAGAGCTGCTTCTCTTACAGAGAGGAACATTCTAACCTTTAGTGCCTCCATGCCAGCCTGGATAACAGGAGCGAAGACAGTCTCACTCTCGTTAGTGTCTGCAAACATCTCTGGAATCTGGTCCAACAAGCTATGAAAGACAAAAGGATAGCATTTGAACTGGGTAGCATATTTTGGATAATCCCTAAACATACCTTGTAACACACCAAGTCTTCACACAGGAAGAAGTTTTCCATGCAAATATATATTAAAAAAATGAATTTTGCTTGCTCAATTTCTTAGGATTCTAGCCAGAATAAAACAAAATATGAATTTTCAAATTCTATGAGATGCATTAATTCAAGGCTGGTAATATAAACGAACATACAATAAATAAGAAATAGCTAAAAAATTAAAGGAGTTCTATTGTGCTGTAAGGACTTAAGAGTTCTCAGACGATACCCAGGTGTGCATCATATACATTGCAAGAGGAAAAAAATGCACCATGGCACACAGCTGCAACCCCCCTCCCATTTTTGAAGAAGCACAGCATGGTTTACACCTGGCATAGATATGCTTTCGAATTCAGCACTGTGGGGGGGTGTTGAATCACTTTGTCTTTCACTTAATGGTGGAAATACATGGCTTGAAGCATCTGCTGGCTTCTGAAGTATTTCAATAAATACATGTACCCCCCAAACCCAATAACACAATTGACTAAAAGGTGTAATGCTTATCATAAGCATTCAGATCTTATTCATGTAAGGAATAATTATACTTTACTTGATAACGACAGATCGTGATTCCTGAAAATTTACAAGGAAACCATCCAGCAAAGGAACAAAAACTTCTCCAACATCTGAGACCACCATCATCTGAGGCTGAGCTAAGCTGCTTTTTACATTAAAGAAGTGAAGGACTTTGTTATAAGTGACAAAACCAACTTGAATTGCTGAGGATTCTTCTTGCTCTTCTCTGTAAGAAAAACAAAAACAACTGGTTATAAATCTGAAAGTCTGACTTTGCAATAAAAGCATTCCTTTGAAATGCAAGACTGCTTTCAGATCATTATCTGTACTGAGCACAACAAAGCAAACAAAACCAAGCAGATGTAATCTTTGCCTTAGGTCAAATTAAAACACCCTGATAAAGTTAACTGCTGTACTATTTACTTTTTAAAAAAATATATATTTACATGCATCCTATCCAAGCAGTCAAAAGTCCCTAAGATAAAGAATAAACCATGTTGTCCTCAAAACATGGAATAAAGAGAACAGGACAATTAGTTACAAGATACAATCAGAAAACCAGCTTTATTTAGAATACATTGTAATTCAGTGACACTAATGATGGATGCCTAGTAAGAATAGTATCCAGGCTTAAATCATGTCTGGTGACTTTGGTGGGTCAATCTCCTGCTTGAGCAGGACTGCTTTTAAGCAGCAAAAGCTGATAGATCCTCTGTAGCTGTGTATCACACAGAAAACATGTTGTAGAAATTGCTCATTATTGCTATTAAGTTCCCAGGGCAACCAAAGACAGCACACTGCTGCTGTGAGCTACGCCTGCAGGAACACCGCCAGCAGCAGGCTCAGGCTCTGCTCCCATGGAGGTAACTCCTCTAAGCAGTAGCCCACTCTGCCATTAGTAGCAATGTACTAGTACTAGTTAGACCCTTACTAGGTTTGCAGTCCTAAATTTAGTGAGCTTTTCCCTAAAAGGCAATCCTATTAAAAAATTTGACTCAATTACTAACAAAATAGCACCTTCTAGTAGCAGGGTCTTCCTCTCTTAAATGGCAAACCAAACCTCTAGCATAAAAAATGCCAGGGAGGAAGCCTGTGGTACTTCCAATTCCTACAGGTCAGCCCACACGCTCTGTACAGCAACGTGAAACATTTAAGCAGCCTACTCACGGTGAGGTGTCACAAAACCAGCGTTTGCTTGTTTGAAAGACTGTCATATTCAAAGTACTGAAACTTGGAAATCCCAGCTATGCCACTGATTTAATTTATAACCTGAGAGGAAATTATTTAATTTCTCTATGCCTCAGTTTCCATTTGTAAAAGGAGAACAGCAAGAATTACTGCTTAATCTCACCAGACGTAGAACTATGTACCACAAAGGTCTTTGAGACTGCAGCAATAGGAACCACAGAAATAGCTGAGCTGACTTTATTTTCTTTAGTTTACGAAATAAGTCACTCATGGGAGGTTACGATTGTAAAAAATATAACACAAAGAAATATGCTGATCAACAGACAGGATACCATAATGTACACAGACTCCTACAGATATTACTATCACACCAAAAGAATTTAATAACAGAGCCCTACCATAGTATTTCCGATTACTACCCCCTTAGGGCAAAAAATCTACTACTTATCCTTTACTCTAACCTCTGAAGAAACAAAGGAGTATTAACAGTCACCCTGAGCCCTCATCACAGTAAAGCAGCCAGAGTTTGAAAATATTTATCCTCTTAAGGAGTGTAAAGCCTTGGACCCACCAAAATCAATGGCAAGGCCTTCATCCCACTCCACTGCAACCAACAGATTGCATTTCATGACTTCACAAATGCTTGCGGAATCAAAAGGCAAAATACAGAGGAGAAAACACAAATATACTTTTACTGCAATTCTTGCTTATTTTTTTTTTTTTTACAGCAAATAGCAAAAAAACTGTCAGCTTTCTTCCTGGCTATCAAATCTGTTTGCCTTCAGAGCAAAAAATTTTTAAAAAATTGTCATCGGCAGTTTCACAAGCTCCATCTAAAAACTGAAGCTTGGGAGAGAAATAATTTTTCTTGTCTACACTCTTTACCTTTCATGTCAGTTTAGAATGTTAATCTACCATTCATGTTTTATGAGAACACAGCTGGATGAGAAAGGGGCTACTTTGATCTAAACCAAATAAATATTCTATATTGAACACACTCCATAAAGAAGCATTTTAAATAATTCCACCAATATACACAAACTCAAACAAATGCCTCATTTCTGAATGTAAATTTCTAACCACTCCCAGCACTCAGACACTATTTTCTTAGTAACATGATTAATGGGGAACATTCAGGAACTTGATGAGGACACAGTATTACTAACTTTCTGCACATACAGCACTGTCCTACTTCAAAGAGAAGGATCCACATCATCCTAGTAGTCCCAAAGTTGTTGCACAGAGGGTATTTGGGACAATTTTTCCAGGTATTGCTCTTACCTGTGGCAGCCTGTACTGCCAGACTTCATCCAATTTCCTCTATCATAGTTTTAAAGGCTAGCTGTGAATGAAGCAGCTGATTGCCTATGTAGCTCACATACAATAGTGTCTTTTTTAAAGTCTCAGAATGAGATGTCTGAATCAATGTGCATCAATGCATTCAAATGTGAGGTTTTTAATTATGCACCTAAAAATCATATTTGCATAACTAGTTAACCTGATTTTCCATGCTCACAAGCACAATTTCTACAACACATTTCTCTGTATTTCTTTAAATAGCAAAATTTGAAAATGCCTGCTCTAAAATTTCAAGCAAGCAAATACTGGGTTTCTGCTGTGCTGCAAGTCTACAAAAACACAAAGTTCTTAACACCAGGTCTTTGGCCACCTACCTTGAAATCCTTTCTTTGCTAACTCAAACTTCTCACTCCACAGTGAAGTGGCACACACCTTTATACCAATGGCCTTTCTGTGCCAGACATTGCTTTGCTACCCCCCAAGCCTTTCCTCTTAAAGATCTGAGCAGAGGGTGAACTCCCAACACAGGGTTTTCACCTCGTGCGGCAACAGCAGAACATTTTTGCACGTGTCTTTGTCCAGCAACAGAAAATGAACACACATTGACCTTTGTGTCTCAGCAGCAAAAGAAAAGATTCACCACAAATTTGTGTGGAATGCCTTACTTTTTTTTTAATTAGTACTGTTGAAAGACAACAGACAAGTCTGAAGAAACTGAAGGGCTTGCCCTTTCTTTATATTTTTTATTGCTTTTTTCAGTGGACATGAATACTTTGCCCCTGCAAAGAAATTTTTTAGCAGCAGATCTCTGCAGAGTGCTGGTGAGGAGAAGAATTAAAGTGTCTTTTTTGTGGTGTAGATATACTTGCTTTCTTTTTTCCTCAACTTTCCCTATTCAAGCCTAGGTGTTTCTAAACTGCCAACTGCTTTTTGTTACTACTCATTCCTTTTATTATCTTCAGAGTCATGAGCAATCCTGACGGAAAGCTCTGAGATATGTTCAGGATAATATCAAACACTTGTGTCTCTAGTACAATCTTCAATGACAAAGTACTTGAGAGATGGCCTTACATGGGCATCTGACAAACTAACTCCTCACCCTGGACTGGAATTTATTTCCTGCACAGAGATCTCAGAAGGACATATGATAAAAGATTTTTAACATTTCCCAGATTATCTCAAGGATCTCATCTCCTACTGTTCCTCACTTTGCTCTCTCCATTTCTTAAGTCTGTTCTCCCGCTGCAATTGCTGTTACTTGGAATGCATTTTCTTTCTGTATGATCTTCAATGCTTTTACATACCTTGGTTGAGAAATGTCTTGTCTATTTAATTTCTCAGTCTTTCACTGCTCTCGTTTAACTATGTGTGTCTACATTATTTAAACACTGATGAAAACTATACTAAAAACCATACTAAATGATACCACCATTAATACTGATCAGTAGTAATAGTACTACTGTGTGCTTAATGTTCACAAAGGAAATGTGCTATATTTCATAAAAGGTTTGTTGCCCACAAGATTTGTTCTCCTCTCAGATACATACTGTGACAGAAAAGTCTCACAGCACAGCAAGAAGCTTTAAAAGTTTTGATAATTAACAATAAAAGCTGAAGAAACAAGTCACCAACACTATGGCTTTAGAGAGACTTACCATTCTTGAGTATTCTGGTTTAGATATTTCCCTGTTTAATTTCATAGGAAAAGCAGCATTGCAGTAAACAGAACTACAGCAAGTAAAATCAAAACTACAAGCTGGGACTTCGCTGATAATACCACTAGAGTTCACTACAAGAAAGGAAAAGAATGCAAGCTACATGTGCAGTTAGTATAACAGATTTTTTTCCATTCATATAGTAAGGCCAGACATCAAAGTTTAAGAACTGCCAGCAGCGTTAAAATTAAAATTTGGTCACTACCATCCCCAAAATGCTTCTACTGTAAATTTTGACATTTTCTGTTGCTTGTTTCTACCTCTCAACATGCAAACCTGCATGAAAACTGCAGTGTAGTCAGCTAAGCAAAGCACACGTTTCTTTACCTTGGAAGTTTATCTAGCAGGGTCTTCAGTTCATCACATATGAGTTTAACTAGGCCACTGTTTATGTTTCTGTAGGATACGTCAATCATGAAGATATAAGCTGGCGGCTTTGGAGGCTTGTTGTTCTACAGAAAAATTGACCATTCACAGGGAAAATTAGACAATGTCCTGTTATGTCAAAATAATTTACACCTGGTACCATAAGGCAATCTAAATACAGTGTTCAGTTGTTTGAAAAACACTATGGTTCATTAATAGTAACTACTGCAGAAAGCTGACACGTATTGGGTAGAGTCCACCCTCAGAATACAACATTATTACTGGAAAATAGCATCCTAGTGGAATAAAATATGTAAAGAGTGACAGTTTATGAGATAAGATTAAACACACACATTTTCTGCTGGAATTCAAGTGTTTAAACAAAGTTGCCTTTTGGCTTTTTTCTGTACGCATACTGGTTTCACATTCCCTGTATCAACATGCAGTACCATTCTGTTAATGTGAATGCTTAAATTCAGTTTTTGTTAGTGTTTGCCTCTAGCAACTGTTAAGTGATTTTAAACCAATCTAGAAACAGAAAATAAAACTTAGGTACTAAACCAGAATTAAAGAAACTCAGTTCTTAGCAGTACTAAGTGCTGAACATCTGCATCCTGTCTGTCTGTCTTGCTGGCTCATGTTCCAATGCATTCTGGTCAGCTGAACTGTACTTTCAGGAATAAGCCAACTGTCTATAAGATAATCAAAGCATGACTGTGGAACATTCAATGTATGTAACTGCTGCATACACAGCAGCGACTTGGGCTGGTATGGATTCCTTTGGGAATTCCTCTTATTCATAATGTAACTGGCATACACATCATGACATACACTACTGACACGAGTTTCTGTAAGAAGATGAAATATTTTTGTTTCCAAATAAAAGAATGTAATGCTTAGAGATGTACCCAAGAAAAAAATGATATAAAGTGAACATAGCAACAGTAATCATCATACTCCCTAAGATCAGCTTTCCTAATTCCCATTGAGGTAAGTAGTGGTCTTTACTTGGTAGAACAGCTTTTCTGTTACACTGTTTCACTGTCTTCCTACACAGAGTTCTGACCACTTAACAACTTTATTTAACAAATTATACTTGTTAAACTAAGCCTCAGAAAAATCCATTTAAGACAAAAATGATCTAACTCTTGAATTACAACTTATCCATAGTCCCTGGCACACTTTAAACTAAACATTATACCCTTGATCTTACTTCATTGTAATCATGTAAAGCAGGATTAATTCCTGTGAACTAAAACCAGGCAGTATTTTTAAAACCTGTTTTGTTACTGTACTTGGATTCTAGTTTCAAAAACTGCAACAGCCTCTACTTCTAAACTCTCCTATCACATCACCATTTATAAAGAATCCCTGTGTAATTTCTGACAAATATATGGTAGAAATGAGGACTTGTGCTCTTGCCACATCCGCTTAGCAGGAGTGCAATAATGCAAAACAGCTGTTATTTGTTAACATTTTTTGTAGCTGTTCATCCTTGTCATTTGATAAGCACAAAAGGAAATGACTTTTCAGTTCTGGTCTTAAACTGGATTTATAAAAGAATTAATCCTTTGCAACTTGGAGCAAAACGAAAAATGAATTACACAATAATGTTAACTTCTTTAAAATTTAATGACTTGGCATTTCCAACGTAATTGTTAATTTTGTAAGAGATTCTTTTTTGTAACATTCTACTAAAGTCTATGGATGGATCTTTGCAACAAGAAGACAAACCATACTGGATGACTTATCAAGGAAACTCCCTGATTTAAGCTATATGGCAAAAGCCCCTGAAGTGAAAGATGCATTGTGATGATGGCTGCATCACACAGGGTTACACGTTGGGGCAGAGAAAAAGAACTGCGAAAATGGCACAGAGCCACTCAGTACACATGAGTTTTCAAAGTTTAGCTGCCAGAAATCAGCAAAGCTTAACCGAATTTGATGAAGCTACACTGGATGTACACTGAGGATCCCACACTGTATTTCTGTAATGCCTCACTACAATTTTCTCCTGTTCTGGGGTTTAACCTAGATTCAATAAAATCAATATAGGTCATCTCAGATTTCAATGGATTTTGGAGCAGTCCCCTGTGAGAAAAGAGACTTAAACCTGTTCGTTTTCCTCATATCAGTAATAATTTGATGGTCTAAGGAAATTACTGGTACCTACTTCAAGCCTTTGTAGTGTCCAGTTGCCTTTCCTAACCTTATCACGACCTCAGTTCCACTGACAGGAAGAAAATTCTGCCTGATTTTAGCAAGAACAGAAGAATATGTCCACGCTGTGGACAGATGGAGTCACACTTGTAGTTTTGTAAAATGTACTACAGTTTGAAAAGTTTAAGTTAAGCTTTCAGAAGTATCAGATACAGTTCTTTAATATTACTTACAGTGGCTTGAGTGGGCTTTGGATTGAGCTCTTCAGTGAGTCAATATTAGGAGAGAGAACCCATTCCACTGCAAATCACTTAGCGATCAGAATAGTAAACCCCCTCTTTCCAGGAAAAGATTACAATTCACTCGCTAAGGTTTTCAATATTGGGAAGGCAACTTAGGTGTGTGTCTGTCTTCAAAATCAATAGAAGACATGCATCTAAAGTGCAACACTGCATTGGAATTTCAACTATATCCTCTAAACAGTGCAGCATGCTAGATAGGATCAAATGAACACCCCAGTTAAAAACTGACAATCCATGACTTTGCCGCGCTATTTTTTATTCTTACTTGCTAGCCAGACCCTGCAGCACAAAAGTACAAAATGTTGTAAGCCTAAGTTCTCCACATCTATCTACATTTTCTAGAATGTTCTTGGACTCTGATATTCAGCTTACAAGCGCATTTACTCTACTGTAGGTATTTAAAGGATGCTGTTTGTTTTGACAGAAAATAGTAAATTAGTTTGCACACTGGAAATACTCACTCGGCAATAATCCAAAGTAGCAACATACTCATAAGATCCCAGAGATAGCTCAGGCCTTTCATAGTGGTCTACCCGCCGGCCAATGTGGTCCAGATGTTGAAAGAAGAATGGAGGGACTAAAAGTCAACACAAGAACAGGCAAAAACGTTTATATTTCTGGGAGGAGGAAACCAACTCAACAACTGCTTTCAACCTATACAGTGTACTAATGTAGGCTCCTCTGTTACTGATCAAGGGAAGAGTTTAAACACTTATCCAGGTTGCAATGGTGTTTTTTTTTTCCCCACATTGGCTTAAAAAAAAAACCCCAAACAAACAAAACCCCGCAACATTCTAGTAATGACAGGTCCATTTTTGTTTGGAGCATATTCTCTCACTTCTACACTGTCAGGCTTCAGTAGGTAAGACTGATCCAGGTCATTTCTACAGGCAAGAGCCTGTTACCCTCAGGATACAGACTTAACAGTGACTATTTTGTTAGTAGATATAGTCTACTCAAGACTTAATTCAAACCACCAGTCAGAATTCTGCAGAGGGACAGCACTTTTCCTCAATCCTGTACTGCTTTATCCAAAATGAAAACAGCTCTACAAGGTTCCAAACCCTGGCCTACTCTACAGCAAAGTGCATTGTGTTCATTGCATTGGGAACCTCCTGCAGCTACAGATAAAAGGTGCAGAACTCCAAAGCATTAAGAAATCAAGTGGGTTTGCCACCACCAACTTAAATACAGCTAATCTAATGGTTAGAGTCACACTGGCAAAGAGTCACCTCCAGATTTAAGCTCCTCTTTCCTCAATCAATATATATTTAGAATGCTTATTTTTCACATTTTTGCTTCCAAAAAGTGTATGTGTGTGTGAGTGGGGGGAATAGCTACCTAGTCTGCTGGCCATTTTTAGATATTTTTAGTTCTCATAAAAGCTTTTTTTTTTTAAGCGCTTTCTGACTTGAATAAAAGACACTGTAGTAATACAAAACATGATTTAAAATGACACTGCAACTTAAATGTCTTTCTTAAAATATTCGCAATGCATTTAAGTTTTCCTTTATGAGAGTTTAAATTGCTAACAAACTATGAAATTTGTTATCTGCTATGCTTGCACAAACGTTTGAGCGTCAGGCAGAAAAGAAGTTGGAACAATTCTGTCAAGGTTCATGTTTCACAGTTGAAAAGATTACTGTATTAGGGAAAGTACTATACTGCTGTGATCCAGCTGAGGAAATCCAACTTGATACAAATGTCTAGAAAGGCTAGTTCAGGCAAAGATTTGGGATTTAGCCAAGAGCACAAGAACAGTTATGAGTCACATGCAGCACACTTGAACAAATATGGCATGGTATCTTCTGTGAAAACCAACACTTGTCACAGTAAGATTAATAGGTTATTTAACCATTGCATCTATAGTCACGGACAGGACTAGGCTAACATGGTTCTAAATGTTTGGTTCTTGCTGGACATTTAGATTTCTTAAAGAAATTAATCTTTTCCACACAATAGTTGCTTTCAGTTAGCAATAAAAGCAGCTTCGTATCCTATGCTGACATAGTATTTTTAAATTAAGTTTTGATTTTATCAGACTGAACTTCATGAGTCAGCATGATTTTTCATACATTTCCTTTTTTTAAATTGTACTGAACAAAGGTTCCTACCAATTTTTGTTGGGTAGCAGTTTTTTTATTTGTGAACTAGGCCTAGTTACTGCATCTCACTAAATTATTTTCTCATCAAGTCAGCGAGTCAAGAAAATAATTTTAGGGACACAATTTCTTTTTAGTTTTATGGAACCTGTATGAATAACAGATCAGAAAAGCATCACTTACCATCATTTATACAATTGCAAAATCCACACTGGTATCTTCTTCCACCTTCAATAAACTGCATGAAGGGACACATATAAGCCTTGCACCGGTTGCATCGGATTGGTCCAGTCTCACCATGGTTTACAACATAAAGAGGTGCCTAGATCAAAAGGTAGATTAAGTTATAAAAAGTAATGAAAACTTGAAAACAAATAAAGTGAGCTAGAAAGCTACTGCTCAGACTTAACTCATTAGAGATCAGCTGAGCAAGAGATCGTTCAGTATTCAGCATTCACCCAAGATCTGCAGTATGGTTGGCTCAAGCCCATTGATCCCCTGAGGGGCTAAATTTACAAGTTCACAGGTTGTATTCTGACATTGATCAGAAAGAGAGTAAGAACTCACACTAAAAGCCTACAAAGTTTTGAAAGCATTGGTCGTTCAGAGCTCCAGGCTGATTTTCTCCAGCAAAGGGTTTTACAGATCACGAAGAGAAATCTGCTGGAGTCAGGATTTTGACTTCTCTGTCTGATCAAATTTTTCCTGAAGAAACCTATTGCTGCTCCTCTATTGCAAATAGTCTCTCAAACAGGTATTTGCTAAGAAAGCTTCTAATATTTTGTATAAATGCTGCCACCCCAATGCTGCCATGTCACATCAGACTATACTGATGTTTAAATGTTGTCAGGTTCACCAGCTGGAGTAGGAGATTTAGAAGAAATACTAATATTTATTGAAGGGAAGTACATACGGCAAACAAATACAGCATCTCAAGCACTTGTCAGTTTAATTACACTGACCATGCTTGCTTATAGCCTCTGCCAAAAACCACAGCTAATGGAAGACATTTTCCAGATGCCTCTTTCAGTAATAACTGTGCAGCAATTGAAAGATTCCTGTGATTATACTTCATGCTAGAAAAGTCATACTTGAAACCACTATAAAAATTGACATTTGCTCAATTATTTGTGAAACTCTGTTTTGTATTTTTTCTTACTGCCTTCAGTCCCAACTGAAAAAACTCTGAACATAAGAATAAGAAAAGAAATCCAGAGTTTGGACACATAACAGATCTCTAAAAGAGGAAAATGCTGACAGCCTTTAAATGCTCAAACTTTATCACTTGTATATTCACTTTTTAAAAATTATTCTGTTTGTTCTTAAGGAATGAAAATATTTTATCTGTTATACACTTTATTTTTTATTGGGGCATAAGAGTCTTTGAATACCTAGAAAATCATTCATGTCCTTCTAGCATTCACTGCCTACATATATTTTATTGTTTATATTTTACAGAGACTATTTTACTCATTTATTTCTCCAAAGGGTTTAATGGTTTTTGCCAAGGATTTTATACATAAGAATAGATTTTTACTACATGGGTTTTAAGTGCTCCCTCCTGCTCCACTGAGATATTATTCTACTTTGTGTTCTTTCTTCTACAAAAACTTAGTTTAACACAAATTAACCAATAATGTCAGCTGGCAAACTATCAGGGTCATTTTTCAGACATGAAAGCCTTGGCTATAAAACCTGCTCATCAGCCACAATTGCTTAATAAGTTTTAAAACTTCTGGGTTTTGTTCATTACTTGGCAATTTTCTGATTATCATTCTGCTGTATTAGTTTAATGAGGCCTGGATCTGGTTTGCAGTTAATATTATTATAGTATCTGACCTGGTAGGAGGAAAAAAACAAGACTAAAACAATTCCGGATGCATTTATACATGTTGATTGAATAATTTTAAACGTTGTTTTGATACTTTTAATATTATCCAAGAGGAAAGAAAAAATACCCCCAAATGATCATAGTTTGAAATACCATAATTAAGACCTTTACATTAAAAGCATGAACAAGAACAATCAAAAAATAAATGCCAGGAAGCTCAGAGCCTAGGTGTCTCCATTCTTACACATACTTAATAAATTACCTTTTTAAAGACAGCAGAAATAAAAATAATTGTTTTTTTCCTTGTCTTTTCATATTTGGAGTGAAAATTTTAGTCTTCCCCTCCCTTTAAGTTTCTTTTAAAATACAAAGTCCATTTTAAATTGTGGGGTTAGAGCCTCAGTAGTCTAGTGGGTTATGTTTGAAAAGATTTATCTGCATATTCAACTTTATGTATTAAATAGTTGTCTTGAGGTTACTGAGACTATACATAGCGCATGAAGTTAAAACATGTGCCCAGGTCTTAAGAAAATAGTATCCACAGGCAATGTTCTGTAAACATATACTAGGCTGGATTCTGTTTTCTCCTGCCCAGAGAAATAAAGGATGAAACATCAATAAAATCATATGTAGAAGCTAGCTGTTTTTATTTCCTAATGAGCTTAGAGGAACTTAAAAAAAAAAAAAAAAAGCAAAGAAAAATCAGTGAAGCAAAACCAACCAAAAAGGCATGCAACAGAATTACACAGAATAGAATTCTCACGAAGAAAAATCCTGAAAAAAAGCCCTATGTTTACCTTTATTGATTTATTCCTTTGGAATTTTTTGTAATTAAATGGTATTTGCATTTTAGTATTTTCTTTAAATAATTTAAAACATTACATCAATAATGAACACATCTAATAATAAAACTATCTGTATTTCAGAATCAGCACTCAGACAATAAGCACCAAAACCCCACTTCTTGATGTGTACGACATAGTTGTGAAAGAAATTTTACCTCAAAAAAGCTGAAATCTTCCAGGGCATTACACCCTGGAAGATATTCTGCTTATCAAGAGAAAGTAATTTCTGTTTGGGCATGTAAAATGCTATTGCATTTCCAACTGTCAAAATAACTTCTGTCAGGGTAAAGTAAGTTTTTTTAAAAAGGTAGATCTCCAGGGGAATGTACAAAGGTAAATAATATTCTAGATGCATTGAAAGGCATAAAATAAAGTAATAAGTCTAAACTAATGAATACATAAAAGATAAACCATCATAAAAAGACACAGTACTAAATGGGAAAGTCTTGTTGATGTGCTCCATTCTCTGTAGATGTCACTGTGCACCAGAAGATAAAGCAGAGACCTATTTATAGTCCCATGGAAGTCAGTGGCAAACTCCCACAGGAGCAGGAAAATAAGACAAAATAAAATAAATATCCTTTTTCTCTTTTGTTTGTTTGTTTTTTAAACAAATGCAATACTCCTCCTTTTGCCTTTTCACCTATGAAGTATCAGCATTTTCTTTCTCTCCTCTCTTAAATCTCCACCAATAAGCGAATTAAGTTAGGTATCTACCATAACTATTTGGACATTTGCTATACTCGTGGACTTGTCACTTACACTTCTGCTCTCCCTCATCTCTTCACAAACCTTCATCCAATTTGCCATTTGGACCATCTATTTGAGCACCGAGACAGACCTCACAAAAAGGAACACTTAGGTATCGATTGTTGGCATTCCAGCACTATCAAAATACAAATATTTCTCAAAACCAATGACTAAACTAATACTTGGCAGCCTAAATCTGAATGGGACACATAAAAGGGTTTCCTTTTATGTAAGCTGAAAGAGGAAAGAGTAAGAACACTGTAGTTTTAAATTAAAGCAAAGAAGGATTGGGCAGAAGAGATGGGAAATGCTGTAGGAGACCTGCATAAACTTTCCCTTCTGTGGAACCTCAGGGTCCTGCTGGAGTGCAAGTCCTGAAAGCCTATCTGATAAACCATAACTTATCCCACTATAAGTCCAAATATAGCTGTGATAGCAAGAGTTTTATTTTGGAAATATTTCAGGCAAGAACATCTCTCAGGAGTCAGAACAATATCACAAAGCAATAGATAGACATTGGTGGCACAGCTCCAAGATTAAATACATCCATAAAAATTTCCAAAGGGACTGTAACCTGCGCTTTAAAGTCTGAGAGAGCTGGATTACTATTTCTTGCTATAAAAATGAAGCCCTGACACACTCCTGAGGGTTCCTTGGGATGCCTGCAAAGTATCACGATATTCATACTGCAGGATGAGAGCCACAGCTGGAAATTATAATGTAGGAGTAAGGACTGTGATGAAGCTCAAGATGATCATGGTATATCTCTGGGAAGGCATTCTAACGAGAAAAATCCTGAGAGTGTGTCTCTGGAGAACAAGAGAGGCATACGCAAACACTGAAGAAAATTAGCCATTTATCACACAACAAAATAAAATATATACAGTATCTGTTTTTATTGCCAGACTGACACTCAGACTGGGCTGCAAGAAAACATTTTGTAGCTGTGCTGAAAGACAAACGTCCACATGTGATGGCACTGTACCTTGTCTCTGCCTTTTCCTTCCTATCACAGCTAAGACATATTCCTGTCCACTCCTTGACATAGACCCTATCAGTACAGTGACATGTCGACATTAGAAACTATGTTTTTGCCCTTAGTTTGACTCTACCATCATTTAGGTGCATTTAACACACCAGTATTGAAGCAACAGGAATGTTATCGTATTGAAGAGAGGCCCAACACAGCTTGTGAAGTTTGCGTACATCCAAGAGGAACGCACAAACTTTTTCCATGAGTGTAGCTTTAAGTTAGATCAGTATCTCTATCACACCCTTAATCATCCCCACAAGAGGAGGAACTTGCCACCAGTCCTTCTATACACTTTTGAAGAACACTACCGCTGGAAGACACAGAGGGTCACTCTCACAACGTAACACTATACACTACACATGACAAGCTGTGTTTTCAACTACAGATTATCTCAGGGGCAAACAATTCTGAAAACACACCCCATGAAACCCCTGGATTTAGGGGATCTAAGATTTCAGGACGTCTTTAGACAAGGGCTATTTGTTTCAAAAGAAAAAATATCTCACAGGTTTGGAGAGCTACACAGATATGTAACTCCTGATGACTTCTATTATAACTTAAAACTCCTTATAATCGTACTCCATTATCAGTAGTACTACAGCAAATAAAATATTCTGTACTTCTGATCTACAGCGAACACTGGACACTGTATTTGCATGGCTGATTAACGGAACAAAACCCACCAACTATTCATCCAGACAGTTCATTAAACAGATAAGCTGTACAGTTTGCCAGGGCAACAAATTCAGAAAGGCAGTATTTCTAGAGTTATTATTTACACTGACATTATGCAAGTCTAATTAGTAAAATATTCACCTGAAAATTTAAAGATTGCTATACAATAGAACTTTCTAATTAACAGA